CTCTCTCGAAGGATGGTGGGTTCGCACATCGACTGATACCAGTCGACGGTATCAGTGGATGGTATCTGTTGAACTATTTGGCAACAGGGAACAGACCTGGAATTAGATCTGACCCTGTGCAGCACACCGAACATATTCGGGGCTTTCCCGAACGAGCGAGAACACGTTCGGGTGTTCGGCCGATCACACACCGAACACATTCGGGGCTTTCCCGAACGGGCGAGAACACGTTCGGGTGTTCGGCCGATCACTTCCCGAACGTGTTCAGTCGAACATATTTTATTTTAATGATTTTTTTATTTTTTTTAATTTTAATTGGTTTTTATTTAAATTTTTAATTGGTTTTTAGGTTTTCAATTTTCGACTCGAGTTTGGTTACAAATTTGAACATACCTCCCAGGCAAAAGTTGTTTGTATTATTATTTCACATAACATAAAGTATATTTTTGGAGATTTTTCTGAGAACTCCTTTTTATATATATATATGTATTTATACGTTCAGGTTTGGAGGGTTTTGGCGTTCGTTCGCGTTCAGTCTCAAACGTTTGGGTTCGGCCACTGAGCGTGAACACGATGCTACAGAGATCTCACCTCTGTATATAACCATTTGAAACAGAAAGTGAAAGAGAACGGCCAAAGAAAGAAGTTTCAGCTTTGAACAAAGAAGCTTGTGACAAAGAAGTTTTACAAAAAAAAAAACAAACAAACAAGTTTTTCCAAGAAAGATGGCAACGAAAAAGTTTTTTGCTCACCAAACAAAAATATAACAGCAATTGAATTGAGCGAGAGGAGGGGACGATACTGTCACCCGATACCATCGATCGATACCGTCGACCAATACCGTCGATACTAAGTTTCAGAACTTGGGAGGTCTGGAGAAAAAACTCCGCAGGCTGGAAGGGCAAGAGAGATATAAGGGATGGGTGGACGGCAAGGCATGGACATCCATCCTTAGCAAGGCAGCACACGCAGCAAATGAAGCCGAAAGCTAGAAAACACGAACAACGACGAAGCTGAAAGAACTCGCTCAAAGGTAAGAGCACTTTGGCTGCTGACCCCCCATCATTTGAAAAAAAAAGGGGGAAAAAAAAAGCAGTTGGATCGGGTTAGTAGAGCATTCTGCTGCGACTTCACATTTGTAGCTGAAGGCAAGGGCGGAATAAAATTTGTGACTGCACAACTGCCCGCCTGACAGAGTCCATAGAATGCAAAAGAAGCATATAATGCTTTGTTTGGAAGCGTGTTATATGCTCCGCTGAGAAAAGAAAACGTAATCCGACGATATAACACCGACTTCAGTCGAGTCCTTTTTTTTCCCTGAAGCAGCAGTCGGTAGGCTGAGGTTGATATAAAATTGATTGACGACAAGCCAAAGGTCTTAAACCAAGTTTGAAGTGCGCACAGCAGTACGAGAAGGCTGCGATTTCCGAAGAAAGATTAGGTCGACCGAGTTAAAGAAGTCAAACCGGGACATAAAACCGAGGCGCCCAACCAGATCAACTAAGGTGTAACCGGGCCAACCAGGGTTAATGAAACAGTGCTATGCGATTGAGCACGAAAGCGCATATGCGCTAAGAAGCGACCAAAAGCGCACAGGATTAGAACAAAGGGAGGAGAAAGAGGGAGAAGATTTCCGAGGGGGGGACGGACGCATCAAGTTTGTCTTGGGTTGGGGTAGCTGGATATTACGTGGTAGGGGTTGAGGGACGGGAGTTGTTTGGAAGGCGGGGAGGGGGGGGGGGGAGGGGGAGGAGCTTCCGGAATGTACAGAATGTGACAGAAAATCAACCGGGACATGACGAAAAACAATGGACGAAAAAGGGAAATGGGGCACTGCCCACATCGACCCAACCAGAAACAGGGACAAAGGGTGAGAAGCTGTCTCTTATACACATCTAGATGTGTATAAGAGACAGGAATGTGACAGAAAATCAACCGGGACATGACGAAAAACAATGGACGAAAAAGGGAAATGGGGCACTGCCCACATCGACCCAACCAGAAACAGGGACAAAGGGTGAGAAGATGACCCTACGGTGTGGACCATTCCTCGATCAGGACCACCGTCATCTCGAGGAACATGCAAGCATGCAAGAAAGCGAGAACGCCAAAAAGGCTTTGCCTCTTTCGAGGGAAGACCTGGATCAACAATGCTAGTGGCAAGCAAGAGGGCGAGGAAAAGTCGAGGAAGGGAAGATGCAGAGAAAGATCGGCTGACGATGCACAGAAAGATCAGGCAGCGGTAATGACGGTGGCAGCTCTTTACAATGAACAAAGTGTGCCATGAAAAGAGGCAAAACAGGACACAGCCACACTGGCCTCTTACACTGGTGCTGAGCTGCCGTCTTATTCAAATAGAGAGCATATTCTACTAGTACTCTCCGCTACCACCACTTTCCTAAAGCTGCACCAACAGACAAGAACCCCTTCTTTCTCAGCGAGAACGTAGACAGACAAGCCCGCGCGCGCGCCCTCACCCACCCTTGGCTCCCACTCCGCTTCTTGTGCTCTCTCCATGGACGCATCATCCTAACAGCGACCAATGGGCACGTGTACTTAGTCTCTCACCCAAGCATCCAACAATAACTGCCCTGTGATGGACACTCTGCTGGAAGGTACTCCAAGCAGGAGCACCCTTCCCTTCATGCCATACCTGCTTCTTCATCTTCTTCATCTTCTTCTTTCTACATATATCTATCTATCTATATATATATCACCCCGACTTGCGGTTATGCCAAATAGCATCTGCATGGCTTCCATGCTGTCCCCAACAAAACTGGTCAAAGTCAACTACTTACTGTGAAACAACCCGAACGCCCTCACAGCGAGGAGACCGCAAGCCACAGTGCGACAGCACGTCACTTCCCGACAGGATACGTTACGCACGTCAAGTGCGCAAGATGGTTTTTGTAGCTTGGCCCCAGCAAATAGCCCAGTGGTAAGAGACAACTTTACAGCTCCCCCGGACTCCGAAGAAGAATCTATGTCTAGACCCCGCCTCTCTTCTTTTCACGCCCGACCACAATCTGTGGGATCAAGCCGCGACATCTCCGCCCCTTTGCTTCCCACCTCTCACCACTTCCTTCGGCCACGGCCAAAGACTCGAAGGGAGAGAGGTAGACCAGGAAATGCTGCAAAAGATCAATTGAACTGAAAAAAGAACTCCGACCTACACAAGGGCCCTCCTCACATAGTCCCGATCCCAATCCCGTGCTGGCCCGATCCCGACTCCAATCCCAACCCTGAACAGAGCAGAGGGCCCACCCTCACACATCAACCCGCCCGCCCAAGATTGGCCCAGATATAAAAGCCACGGAGCTGCTGCTGCAAGGGGTTCATGTTCCTACAGTCCTGGAGATTGACACCCACAGGCGGCCGCCATGCTGTCGTCTCTCCTCTCCTTCCTCCATGTGCCCAACCCTTGCTCACCACTGGAGCGATCAGTGCAAACCACACACACATCACAGCGCTCAGCAGAGCTACTTCGCCACCTGCGAAACTACTCTGCTCCCGCCCTGTGCCGATTCCACCCTCCACCATAGATGATTGGCGATCGATCGCCGCACGCATTTGCTTTGACACAAAGGCTCAGCGACGTAACTTAATGTGCTTGGGAACTGCCCTCGTTCTGTGTGACTTAGGATGGACCTCCTTGCCCTGCCCCGTGCACCCTCCCTCCCCCGACGCCTTCCTGCTCCTCTCCCCACCTGAACACGCACAAACGCAACACGACTGGCACCCAAGCAAACGGACCTCCAATGGTGGGGGAAAATGCAAAAATATCGCAAACGTACCCAACCAACCATGTGCCAGCTTGAGCTCGAGGGCCAGTACACACACACCCCTCTGCTCTTTGAGCAAGGCGAATGTATAACAAAATGCTGAACAACTTCGCTTTGCCTGGTCTGCACCAAAGAAAGGTCATCGCATGTCCCTCTCCATCTTCCCGCTCTTACACGGCAAGTTTGACGAGACTGCCCATCACCTCTTCCCAACCGAACAGTCCACTTGCACATAGCAAACACCTCTTCGGCGCCATGATCTTTGAGGCCATACCACCAAAACTTGATGTGCTTCGTCTGCGCGCATTACACTTCTCTCACCCCGTCTCTAAATTGCCTCAAACACAGGAGGTGCCAGTGCCAGGCAGAATCAAGCGGCATCGAGTGCAATCATCAAGATATCATTTCAAATCAATACAACGTCGAGGGACAGAGGCCAACTCACCCGGAAAGTTGGGCGTCTCCGGCATCGCTTGAAGGCTTTGGTGCTCAAGCCCTCTCACTGGAATCGCCTCACCGGCTGCGATGTAACCTACAAGCATCCACGTTGACCCCTTTCCACCACTTGTCTTACCTTATATGGGCTCTAACACTGATCCACAACCAGTAATTTCACTACAGGCTTTGATATTAATGCTGTCCGATGCAAAAACCATACGGCACAACAGCAGCACTTCCATCCCATCTAATGCCCATTGCTCAGTGCGCCATCAGCGATCAGGTCCTCCCGCATGCAAGCGCTAAGGCCTGGCAAGCTTCTGCCGTCAACTGCAAGTACAAACCAACGAACACCTACACCGGTTCCTTCGAAAAGAACGTAGATATCTACCATAAGCATAATTATGCATTTCTGGCTTGGAACGGCCCGACCCTTATTGCCCATCGAGAACCCACCTCCTCTCTCTCTCTCTCTCTCTCTCTCTCTCTCTCTCTCTCTCTCTCTCTCTCTCTCTCTCTCTCTCTCTCTCTCTCTCTCTCAGCTCTACCAATCCAACCCAACCCAACCCGTAACTTGTCATCCCATCCCCGCTTACCTCTTTGCTTTCCTTGCGCTCCCATGTATAAAGACAATACAGGCCTGCAGGTACAGAGGATAGAAGATTAGGTCTTACTTCCACCTTCAAGTCCGCCGCCTTCCAACACCCGGAGTTCTTTTGTGTCCCTCTCCCTTTCCGGACAGATGTGTACAAGGTCGACATCGTAGCATTTACAGCTGCAAACAACACGGGAGAACAACTCCGTGGCCCTCTTGCATCATGTAACCTCCTGTGGATATCATCCACTCCCCTGGCCTTCTTGTTGGACCCCCTATCCCCAATCCACGCGGCAATGCTACCGCCTTCGCTAGACTCAACATGACTGCCCACAACACTACCTCCACCTCTGTACGTACACACCCACACCCACCCACCCACCCACACACACACGCATCCTACCGTTCTTTCCTTGAGCCGACATTATTTCCAAGTCATGGATCAACAACCAACGGCGAGAGCCTGCGAGAAGCCTTAGATCGATTGCCTTTGCCGGTAAAGTGCAACTCGAAGCATGCTGGACTCGCTTGAGTAGGCCAGAAAAAGCCCCTGATATTGCAATCACAACTACCCCGCCTCGCTCTTCCCCTCAACTTGACCATTGTCCCTTCCTTAACCCTCTTCCTCCCCCCCCCCCCCCCTCCTCCCGCCTCCCCCCCAGCAATCCCCCTGGACACTCCAACAAAATGCTCCAGGATTTCAAGGGTGCATTTCTGCTACCGTGCTCACGCCTAGTATCCTTCCTCCATCCTCTTAACTTGTGGCCAACCGAACAGCAAAAGGGGAGGAGCGAAGGACAGGGGAGACGAACCGACTCAAAATCCAGTCTAAGCTCTCATGAATATGTCAAAACCTGATCTAAACAATCAATTAAAAATTTGGAAATTATCACCTGGCACAGCATGTTACGGGAGACAGAGACCTATATTCCCATCCCAAGAATTGAAAGAGTTTAAATACCTATCTCATACTTTGACAGCCGCACAACTCGCCTCGTGCTCAGCAAGACCGCTGGCGAGCAGTTATCTTGTCGGGGATTCCTTCTCCCAATGTCTGACTTCCTCCCTTGTCGCTCTGTCTCCTTTTCCTCTCCCTCACCCTCTCTCTCTCTCTCTCTCTCTCTCTCTCTCTCTCTCTCTCTCTCTCTCTCTCTCTCTCTCTCTCTCTCGCTTCCTCGAGCAGAACATTTCTCACACTCTTTCCCCACCTTTAGCAGAGTTCCGCTTTCCCTGTCTCCATTGCTAGTTCCACGTTCCCGGTCTTCAGAGCTCTGCACTGTGCAGTCCGTCGTGTCTCTCTTTCCATCTTCCACAAAAACTCCCAAGTAAAGAGAGTTTCACAGCATCTGACAGCAGTCCTGTTTTGCAAGAAAGAGAGCGAACGGCATTGGACCTGAACATAACTTATGCTAAATCGTTTCCCACTGTATGTCCATCCACACTGACCTCAGTCATTGCCATGGCCGTGCGTCGTTAGCACCTTCTCAGTGCCAAGAGGCAATCCATCGGGCCGGGTCACCCACTTCTTCTTCTGCTGACTTGCGGGCACGGTTACGAGGTGGGTCGTCCCGTTGCTAGACTCCATGAGGTCAGCTGTGTCATTTGCACCATTACGACCGTGGACACCGGAAGGCGGCCAGCCCTTGTGCTGCTCGTATAGTCGTTTTTCCATAATAAGGGCGGCTGCAGACGTCTTCCTGGCGACTTGCTGAGAGCCCATGGAGGTGGTTGACGAGCTCAGAGGCATACGCCGAGTGCTTTGCAACACGTGCACACCCTGGTCCATGCCATCCTCCACGGCAGCTACCCTGTTCTGCTGGGAGTGATGATAGTCCTTCTCCCTCGGTTGCTCTCGGAGGTCCCGTCCCTCCCGCTGCTGTTCTCTCGGGTACTCCCTAATGTCTCGGCTCTCTCGGTGCTGCTGTTGCGAGTTATGTGCCTCTCTGTCCCTCGATTCTCGGTCTCTCCCTTCCCGATCTCTGCTATCACGGTCCCTACCCTCACGGGGCTCACGAAGAACTTGCTCATGATGTCGTCGGTGGCTTTCTCTCTCCCTCTGTTCCCTTTCTCGATGCTCCCTCTCTCTGTCCCGTTCCCCGTGATGGTGCCGCTTCAGCACATGCCTCGCATTCGCATGAACGTGGTGGCCGTGTGCGCCGCCATAATGATCCCCACTCCTCCCTCCTTGTCCCACCAGAATCGACGCTTCCGGAGGCGCTGGTGGATAGCCACTGTGCAGTGGCAAGTCGGGTACAGTGATGCTCTTCGCTGGGCGCCCCCGTGGTGGTGGCAGCGGCGCTCCTGGCGGCAATCGCTCATCGTCCTTTGTCAACCCCCAAAGAGCTGCTCCTGACGTTCCCGGTTTCACCATAGGCTGTGGTCCGCTTTTCGACGAAGGCAGTACTCGCGGGGCAGCCCTTGGGCTGCTATCCCGTCTTTCCCCCGGAAGCTGCCCAGCATGAGGTCCGAGTCCTATCAACCCCGCCGAATGCTCAATCAACGGCGGAAACTTGTCGCTCTTTGACGTCTTCGAGGAGCTCAGCGCAAGCCGCATCCTGTTCGTGTGCATCGTCAATGATGTGTCCAGCTCCGCATTATGAATATGGGGCAGTCGCACCTTCGCCTGCCGCCTGTTGTCGTTCCTCGGCTCAACCTTCCTCAGCCTGTTTCTCCGTGCCTCTTCATCTCTCAACTTCGCATCGTATTCTTTCGACGGCGGGTATTCCGGTAAGCTCGATGGTTCACAAGGCAATGGTTTTGTGTTGAAGAACTGCAATCACATGATGATACCAGGCACTCAACGTTTGTGTCACGCTCACTCGCACCAACACATCCAGGACATGTGCGACTAAAAAACAAGACTGAATAGACGCACACTTTTCAACAATTTTCTTTTTGCCTCCTGCCAACAAAACAACAGGAGGGGGGTAATAAAAGACAAAATAGACACACATGCATCCAATACATGCTCATAAATGGGGCTACCAAATTCACCCCTGAATAGAACAACCCTGGTCATTATCGCTGTACCTCGACAGCGAATGGGCCAACTACAGCATTAATACCAGGCATTCTATTTGGGCGAAGACGACAGTAGTAAGGATGTCTAAATGACGACGATGATGAAATTGTTTGATATAGGTCCTCTATATGTCAATTTCATCATTTATTGACTCATTCATCCATTTTCAAGTCTAAAGAAACTCGGTGAATCTGGATGAAGCAGACTGCTACATCCATGACCATCGCAACGACCAAAAGTCAGATGCTGAACAGCTAAGAATTGGAAAAATCCGATATGGAAAGTACTGTCATTTTTGCTGCATCCGGACTGAAAGTTGAACCGAAAATACAGATATGGTGACCGTTCGTTTTATTCAGTGGACAATGGAAGATCTGTCAGCACATCTGGATGAGGCAGACTGCTACATCCATGACCTATCCCCTGTGACGCAGAAGACGTCCAAATACTCTGTAGGTGTTGGTACTTTTAAAGGGCTTTAGGGCATACTCACCCTAGAACACTTTCTACTACGCTCTGGACGTGATTGCGGTCAGATTCATCCACACCAACCACCAAATGTGCAAAATCAGAATGAATCTTCAGCTCGAACATGGAGAGATGCACCGACATAATTTTTTTGTCTTTTGTGCATGCGGTGAGTGCCACTGAGTGGAGGAGCGCGGTCCTCTATGGATATGGATAAACATGGGCCTAGCTGCACCACTGACCATAAGCACAAAGACAAATTATGGCGGTGAATATTTCCATGTTTTGGGGGAGATTCATTCTCATTTTGCGTAATTGGTGCCCTTTGTGGCAAGGTCCCATATCTCTAATAATCCAAAGGAAATAGAGGGTCTCGCGTGGGCGTCCCATGCGAGCCCCCATTCACAGTGTTGGAACAGTACGAAACTGGTCCACCACCCGTGTGGGGTGCGGGCGAGCAGGCCGATGCGGGCGGGGCAGCCCGAAACGGTGCGCCTCCCGGAAAGGCGCAGGCTGAGCAGCGCGAAGCATTTGCCCCAGTGCGAAACGGGAGGGCTGTGGGATAGTGTGTATATTTCCATGTTCTAGTGGAAGATTCATTCAATTTTGCTCATCCTATCGGTGGAAGTAACGTGACGCCAGCCGTGAGGTTGGAGACTTACCTGTTCTCTCTCTCTCTCTCTCTCTCTCTCTCTCTCTCTCTCTCTCTCTCTCTCTCTCNTCTCTCTCTCTCTCTCTCTCTCTCTCTCTCTCTCTCTCTCTCTCTCTCTCTCACACACACACACACACACACACACAAAAAAAAAAAGAAGAAGTAAAAGAAGTGGCCGTATATATTTCCATGTTCTAGCGGATCCTGTCGAGTGAGGTGCGCGTGATCGACAAAGGACGGGCAGCAGACAGACCGTTCGTCAGACCCCACGTGCACATATAAAAGGATCTCTATTGTTTGAATTTATTTCAGCAATCAATTCTCTATTGGTGAACTTATACACCTCCGCCGAATGCAGAGATGCGTGCTTGAAGATTGACGCAGAATGACTCAACAAAAGGACCATCAAGTCTGAAAACCGACCCTTGTGAGGCCAGCCTCACCGTGAAACCCGTTTTCGTGAAGCATTTCTCAAGCTATCTCGAAAAACGTCGTGCAAGAAAGACATTCAGGCCGTTGGTCGGTCGTGTTATCTCATTGGAGTTTAGCCAAGTGGAAAGGCATCAGTTTTTAATACCGACCAAGTGCAAAGGTTCAAATCCTTTAGACTCCTGCGATTGAACCACCAGTACTTCCTAGAGTCGTGCCGGTTAACGCGCCACGATTTTAGGAAACGTACGGGCTACTATAGGAGCGCCCAAATTTATCCGACTAGAAACGTTTCTGCTCTATTTTTTTCCGCGGCCGATAGCTGGGCCAAGTACTGGTGGTTTAATTTTTTCCAATTTAGTTTTTGCTTTGAAAGCTGACGTATCAAACCACCAGTACTTGGCCCAGCCATCGGCCGCAGAAAAAAATAGCGTAGAATCATTTCTAGTTGGATAACTTGGGCGCTCCTGTAGTGGCCCGTACATGTCCTAAAACCATGGCTTGTTTACGTGCACGACTTTAGGAAGTACTGGTGGTTCAAACTTCGCAAACCTCCAAATGCAAAAAATGAAAGGTAACTTCACTATGCTAGTATACCAACCAGTTTGATAAATTTGGTATGTATAGCGGCTATAGCCGCTTTAGTAGACAGCATGAAACTTGTGAACATAGTTCCTGGAGTGGAACCCTGACCACCAATCCAACACTTGATGAACACTGCTTCACAATGATAGCAAGACAACATCGAAGGATCGAAAAGCATCGAAGGATAGAAAAACGACGTCGCTATGAACGCTTGGCTGCCACAAGCCACTAATTACCATGGTAACTTTTCTAACACCTCTAGCGCTGAGGAATGACGGAGCATGTGTGGGTGAATGGTACGGACATGTAACTGTTGATAAACAGGTAATGAGCTCAAATGGATGCAATAATATTAGGGACTACACCCTTTCACCAAAAAGAGAGAATCTAAGGGATAATACCGCGGCATAGAGCAACCCCGCATTCCTAAGGCGTTGGTTTTCAGACACACTCGAGCAATGCAGTCCAACAAGGAGAGGGATGGTCTGGCAGCGATGACGGAGCATAGAGCAACCCCTGTTTTCATAACGCGTATTTTTGTCACATGCTCTCGAGAAATGCAGCCAGACAAGGAGAGAGATGGATGCTCTGGCAGCAAGGAGGCACCATACACGAACCCTGTTTCCATAAGGCGTATTTCTGTCGGATGCTCTCTAGAAAGGCGACCCGACAACGAGAGGATGGTTTGGCAGCCTCCTCCTGCAGCATGCCAAAGGTTCACCGGCTGATATAGTCGGCTCGCACCCCTTCGTTGGTTCCTCAGGGGCTATCCCTTTGTCCCTTCCATCCTTAGTCAGGGGTTAGGATCAACCCAGAGTAGAGTAAATACTAAAAAGATTTAAGAGAAAGATTTATCGGATTAGTCCGACAACGAGCGGATGGTCTGGCAGCCTCCTGCGGCCCGCTCAGGGTTCACTGGCTGAGATAATCGGCTTGCCCCCCTTGCTCGGTTTGGTAGGGGTTATCCCTTCGTACCTTCCCTCCTTCGCCAGGGGTTAGGGTCAACCCGGAGTGGAGGAAAAAGAACGATTTTTTATCGGATTACCCAGCGGTGCTTTGACATGCGTGGAGGCTGGTGTGTAGGATGTATGCAAGGCCATATAGGTAGGTAGAGGTAGGTAGTGGGAGGTATAATTGAGAGAAGAATATAGCTCAGTTTTTTGGGGAAAAAAAACGGATGGTCTGGCAGCCATGACGGAGAATACAACAACCCTGTTTTCATAAGGCGTTTTTTTTTTTTCTTTCGACGCTCTCGAGAAGGACAGCCCAACAAGGAGAGGGAAGGATGTTCTGAGGGCGACGGTGCAGCACACAGCAACCACGTTTTCGTACGGCGTTTTCTAAGAGAAGCAGTCCGACAAGGAGAGGATGATCTGGCAGCAATGATGGAACGCACACCATCCCTGTTTTGGGAAGGCGTTTTTTTTTCTTTTGATGCTCTCGAGGAACGCAGCCCGAGAAGGAGCGGGAGAAGGATGGGTGGCTCTGGCAGCAGCATCACTTACATCACTTTTCAGCGCAGATGTCGACGTGCCTCTATCTCCTGGTTCAATTGCCAAGAGGGTCTCCAGGAGGGCCAAGCTCGTAGGCGGGAAGTCTTTGAACACGTCACTCAGGCTCCGCTTATAAGGTTGCTGAGGTTTGAACATTGTTGCGTGGGGGAGCTTGCTCTTCCTCCAGTACTCCTCCGAGGGCGATCCGCACAGCTTGAAGATCTTATGCAGTTGTTCAACCTGCGAAACCACCAAGCATTGCCGCACCACCGGCAGACGAGAGCCATCATCACAATTGTCCCATTTGTCAGCATGGTCGTCAAGACGATCGTCGTCATCCCGCTATCCACCATCAAGATCATCATCATAGTCATCATTGAATCTATCATCATCACCATCATCATTTGATTCACTGACAAAAAAGTACACAACCCCGCCAGCCCCCGTTTCCCCCCCCTCCGTGCCCCCCCTCCTCCCTGCCGCCCCCTCGCCCTCTGGAAGCTGCTGCAGCAGCAGCAGCAGCAGCATGACCACGAGCATTGGCACCATGTATGTCATAGCTATCACCATGACCATAATAACTATCCTCGTCAAAAAAAAAAAAAAAAAAAACTATCGTCGTCATCATCTTCAGCATCAGCATTGTCATTTTCCATAGTGACCTTGGACATCATTGACATTTCGTTTTCAACTTTTCACCGATAACATCGCTACCATCATCACCCAACGAGAACACCCTGTCACTGTCCCGGCATCTAGACTGGAGTTCGACCAAATACACCTATAACGACCGGGTGTTCCATTTGGTTGAAGACCGTGGAGGATTCGTGTATGACCCTTCACCGTGCCGGGAAGATCAAAATAGTGTTGGAGGCAGTGGTGGCTTAAACCACCAGTGCTTGGCCCATACATCGGCCGCGGGCCCTTGTCGTATAATGCGCCGCGCTAACCTGGCTTCGGGGCTACCGGACCACAATGGCTGTCCGTGCCAGCCAAAAGAAGAAAAAACAAAAATCGCACGCTGGTGATTCGACAAAGCTTGGCGCGCAGGACGTTTGGAGCCCTGAAAGAAAGTGGCCGGGAAGTACTGGTGGTTTAATGCGCTGCCGCAGAAAGATTTGGCCTGCTGGACCGAAAGTGCCGGTGGTTTGTGGTAGGCCCTTGTTAACCATGGTTTGGAAAATTTACTATTTAGGCACGTGGCCGATACCACAGAATGCCCCTCCGACCTCCTCCGGGGGCAGACACATAGCGGCAAACTCTGCAACTCTGGGGTAAAGAAATGGATGCATTAAAAAAAGAAAAGGCTGCAAAAGCATGTTCTTCTCGGGAGCGTAGTAGGAACACAACCGAACATATCGCCGTAATGGGGATAGGTGCAGATTACCTCAGTTCGCCCAGGCATGATAGGTTTCCCTGCTATCAGTTCGGCCAAGATGCATCCGGTCGACCACAGATCCACTGCTGCACCGTAGTTGGTGGCACCAAGCAGTAGCTCGGGAGGCCGATACCACAGTGTGACAACTCGGCTTGTGAGCGGCACATTCGCATCTGGGCGATAAAACGTCGCGAGTCCAAAATCTGCGATCTTGAGGTTGCCCTTGTTGTCCAGCAGTAGATTCGATCCCTTTATGTCCCGGTGCAACACACCCTTAATGTGGCAGTGCTCCAGCCCTCTCAACAGCTGCTGCATGTAGCATTTGATCTGGCATCCACACAAAAATCATTTGTAAACGGCCGAGTCAGCAACAGGCAAGTCCGCAACAAGCCAACAACTAGGCGAACAACTAATAAGCCACAGTTCCATACGACCAGCCCGGTCATGGCACCCCCATCAGCATCTTGCTCACTGAGCTATGTTGGCGAGCTGTCCATTTCAGATGCTGCTGCACCAGCATCTCTGTCTGCGCTACCGTCTTCACCCGAATAGAACGCCAGGTAATTATCGCTGTATCTGGGCTGAGAGTTGTGCCAAATACACAGCTATAATGACCGGGCGTTATATTCGGGTGAAGACGGTAGCGAGCTCCGTGTCGCTCGTACTGTTAGCCCAATCAACCATATCCTGGTTACTGACCAAGTTAACATATGCTTGTTGGGCAGTCAATTAACTTGAATCAAGCATCCCACAGGATTCTGGCTTAATCACACAATTAATCATCCCAGCCGAACACCCCGGATCCCCGTACTTCGTCATACCACAATTACAATGACCTGAACAAAAATGTAAACAGAATGTATTTTTAGACTATTTCTCCAATTCGCAAGTAATGCATAAATAAGGTAAGAAAGAGAATTTCTGAATTTCATTATATTCATTCTAAATTTGTATTAAATACTTTTTTTTTTTTTTTTTGGGGGGGGGGGGACACATGCTCGAGTCTATTCGTGGGGAGCAACACGTGCTGGGAACCGGGCCCAGCGTCCCATATAGAATTATACAAAAGATTTGATACCAGGGCCCTTACCTGGTTCTCGGCTAGGAACAATCTGAGAACTATAAAACAGATTCTGGAAATTTAGGAAAAACTGTTCAAAAAACATGGATAACTGCTAACCTATTACTAGGCTACTCAAGCAGCACTTACTAAGTCAAAACGGAAAGCCACAGAGGCCCATTGAATGCTCAGAACCCCTGGAATCCCCAGCAAAACATTCTAAGAATCTCTAACACTGTCTTATTCCCTGGCGAGCTTTCCCAGGCCTCATGCCCCCATCCTGCTAGATTACAGGGCAACACAACTCACCCCGGCTCCGGCCAGCGTCGTACCGACAGCAACCCTCGGTTTTCCCTTGGAATGCCCAGCCCAAGGCATCCCCAAATCTCTCTACCAGGCCTCATGCTCCTGCTATCACAGGTTACAGGGCAACCCCCCAGCTCCGGCCAGCGTCGTTCTGGCATCGAAAAACCGCAGATCCATGAATATAACAGTATTAACAAAACCTAAAATGAGTTGCCAGAGGTGCCCAGAATCCTAAGGCATTCTCAAGACTTTCCTCATGAGATAGGGTAAATCCAAAAAGGCTTGGAAAAATATGAGAGCGGGGAGTCGAAACTGAAACTGCCTACTATCCAAAAACTCCCCCCCTCAGCAGACGAAACATCGGTCCAGGCTTTCAGTCCTCGTACCAGAACTCACTTGATCTTATACCCCCTTCTGCTAGGGTAACAGGGCACCACAAACCTCCCCAGTACTGACCAAACTAGTTCTTACGGACAGGAAGTGCCTTCCTCCCTTGACAATTCCCTTAGCGGCAAGCCCCTGACATAAGTTACAGGGTCAATACCCCGGCGCCGGCTACGTCGAACGGTCTGGTTATGCCTTCCACCCTCGACATAACTCCACAGGCCTCAAGCTCCCCCTAGGTCACAGAGCAAAAGCTCCAGCACCGGCCTGTGCCGTCCCAGCATCGTCCTTCTAACCTACTTACCTTCACAAACAACCTTCCTCTGTTGAGAGCCCCCTTACTACCTTCCATCCTCCAATTCTAACTCCCCCCCCTTCCCTCCTTTTTTTGAGATACCAGGGCCATTACCTGGCTTCGGCTAAGAAGAAACAGAAAAACAGGAAAACGAAATCCACCCACGATCCAGCTCCTTCCCCGCACCGCAGAGGGAAGACTGCTGCCCAGGCATTCAGTGCTCGTACCAGAACACGCTAGATCTCATACCCCCCTTGCTAGGGTGACAGGACAAGACCGACTCCCCCAGTACCAACCAAACTAGTTCTGACGGACAGGAAGTGTCTGTCTCCCTCGACAACTTCCTTAGCTGCACAGCCCCCACAGTTACAGGGTCACTGCCCCGGCAACAGCTACGTTGAACAAGATGGTTATGCCTTCCACCCTCAGCATAACTCCAATGGTCTCAAGCTCCCCCTGGTTACAGAGCACCTGCTCCAGCACCGACCACTGTCACCCCACCCCATCCTTCTAATAGACCTACTACTAATCTATGATCTAAATTCATCTAACCAATCACTATTGCTATTGAATTCAGTATTTACCTAGGCTAGCAGAGTGGCCAGGGGCAAGTTGCCCACAATCACTGGCGACTCCATCTGCTAACCATCCCGGATAATTTCCCCGCAAATCATCTATTAACCATCTGTTAATCACCTCGTAACCACTCTGGTTACACAATGCCACTTTTCTCAAAGCCTCAGAAGAATTAAACATATCTCATATGCCAGGCCAGCAAATTGGGAATTAATGCAGTAAAAGGCTAGGAAGACTTTCATGACCGGCCGGTCACCCGGGCATGATGCCCGGGGGGGTCTAACGCCTGGGATACCCGGGCATGGGGAAATAATAGCGGGGGGGGGGGGGAATTGGTGGGGGGGGTTTTCCGCATTCTCCGAGAGGAGCCCAAATCCGAGCTCTTTTCTTTTTCTGAGTGTTGGCTTTGAAGGGGGGGCAATGGGGGTATAAATTGTTTTTGAAGGGGCTGAAGGGGTTTAAAGGGGTGTGCCCTGGTGAGATTCTGTTATTTTCTTTTTATCTTCAGTTCCGTGAGGAATTCTGATGTGACCCTCAGCCAAAAGTTGTTTGTATTGCAATTCTACACAACATATTTTTTTCCAGAATTCTTTTCTTTTTCTTCCTTTTTTTGGGGGGGCCGCTGGGGTTGCCCGGGACTCTGCCCGGGGGTCATGCCCGGCCGGTCACTCGGGTGTGTTTCCGGGCATAACTTGGGTGCCCGGGCGCCCGAGTAAACGGCCTATAGGTAAAAGGGCTTCGTTGAGCCTTTCGGGAATTCTTCATGGGAGTGTCGAGTAAATGCGCTAGTGAACGGGGACATCAACAGAACATAACCCATCCCCCCCCCCCCCCCCCAAACCATACTTCTCTGTATTGTTCCAGTTTTAATGGATGACCCCCCTCCCCCCAGACATGATAATTATCCATCAGACCATGTGAATTCCTGATGCGGTCTGTCAGAAACAGAAACAGTCACCCATGAGCTGTTCAAATACAGACCGGAGTTCAAATCCATGAATGGAGATATGAGAACTGGAGCGACGTCATTCCAATTACCGGGACTCGAAAGAGCCCAGTATTGTTATTTATTGTTGCTACCTCCGTATGTCTGGATTGGGTAATTTACACGCCTGCTTCCTTCCTTTGCCTTGGATGTGGCGGAGGCCGGGTAGGGCGACTTCAGTCACTTCGCACATTCTGAAACAAGTCTTGAACCAACTCTGTCTGTACTTCTTCGACTCTGAGTCAACATATGATGAGATTCAAGGGGCTCATAGCTTGATCTCTTCCACGACAGTACATCAAAGAGCCGCAGCTGCGCAACATTTTATTTTTTTTAATCTTTTTCGAAAGGTCGACGGCCTTGAGAGAGGTCATCTGTGAAGTTTGAAATGACCAGCGCCAATTCGTAGAGAATTATTTCATTCCATTCACCTAGTTCCATGGGGATTGGATCTCAGGTCTGTATTTCCACACTTCATGGGTGTACCAACTGAGATACGCCACCAATCGGTGCAGCACGTATTTTCTAGCAGGAGCTATACAAATCTACGACAAACGTCAGGGTGGTGCTCACACTGACTAACACCGCAGACGAGATGAGAAATAGGGAGGTGGAACACGCGCAGAGAAGCATCAGCACCCGCCAGACCACAAAGATCGCGGAGTGGGGAGCTTCTTAAACCACCAGTACGGCCGGGCCCGGAGGCGCCTTACTGCGCGTCGGCAAGGGATGCGCAGTGTTCGCACTGCAAGACTGATAGTTTTGCTGCTTGCACATGTCGGTTGTGAGGTTGGGGAGCTAACAGCAGTTAGTTGCAAGGGATTGTAGCAGAATCGCCAGCAGCAGCAGCAGCAGCAGAAGGTGATGATGGTGATGATGATGACTCTGCAAAGTGGCAGCCGACTGCGAGAAGGAAAAGAAGAGAAAAAGGAAGATGAGGATCACGACGATGATATTAGGAGGATGGCTCTGTGTGTGTGGCCCGTGGCTCCTGGTACAGGTGGCAATGTCAGCGGTGGAAAGCAAGGATGATAAGAAGCAGGCCAGTTTATATGGTGTCTTCATGTAGTCATGTGGAATCACATGACTTTGTGACCTGGGCAAGATATGGCATCTTTGGATGCATTCGAATGGTATTCCGAACATGTCACTTGGTGTTTTTGACTAGACAAAAGCGGTGGTGGCTGCTGTGGTGTGGATGTTAGTGGAAGTGTGTATTACATGGTTATACCGCCAGTGCTCGGCCCCAGCCTTGCAGAAAAAGCAACTTGTCGCCACCGCACTGTAGCGGGCTCGGCTTTCTGGACCACAATGGCTGGGGCCGTGAGCCAGATGGGGTTGCAATGAGGAGGAAGTTTTTCGGGTCTCGTGCTATCATCATGGCCTCCGTGATGGGGTTGGACCCATTCAATCCAAAGGATGTTCAGCCGTTGAAAATTCTGATCTGCTTCTGCTCAGCCTGGGAGTGATAGCCTTTAAGTATGCTGCACTGCAGGTAGTTCCTCTCACAGTCTGGGAGTGATGACCTTTCAAGTATGCCACGCTGTAGGTGGTCCATCTCGAAGTCCGTTTCCATCTCAGGCAGCTGTATCCGCTCTTCATCCGGTGAGGTCCCATCACAGGTGCAAAACTGAGGAAGGCTAGCATTGCATGTGGGACATGAGTGAGGAGAGTCGCGCGGGTGGGGACATCAGGATAGTCCCCACAGTAGAGACACGTAC